GATTGTAAAAATCTTAAGACAGGATTTTATTTATAACTAGCTGACCCGGCAGACTTCGTAGTGCCTCAATCGATAAATAAAAGACCTAAACTTTCGTATGAAATAAACTTAAAACAAACAAAAGGAATCCGTCCGACGGAGGACACATCAAAGGAAAAACAAAATTGTTATTTTTATTTAATTCCGAGCATTTTCGTATTTATCTACCTTTTAAACCTTCTCTGGACTCTCACAAATAATTCAAGACCAAAATTAGCCAAATCGGTCCAGCCGTTCTCGAGTTTTAGCGAGACTAACGAACAGCAATTCATTTTTATTTATATAGATAGAAAATAGATAAATAGATTTTCTTTTCCACGTTGAATCAGTGATAACCAACGCTTAACGATTCTTTGCTATTAATGCAACAGTTAATTTATATTTTCATTTGAAAAAAATAATGGTTTATTAGAAATTCAAGTTTCTCAGGCAATAGTCTGAATTCAGCTAGCTACGAATGGAAATCTAATTGAAAAGTACTTAAATTATTTCAGCCGAATCTTGTCTGCGCGTTCAGCTGACGAATTTTACAGCTGTATGGGTGGTGGTGCCGGTGCAGTTTGGGAAGCTGGAGACTCCCTTGTCGCTAGAGTTGTGGCATTTGGCTCTGCACCAGAACTACCCAGATTACGAAGCCTACATCGTTACAGAGTTGCTCCGCCAGCACCACCGACAACAGCTCCCATATATTATCCACCCATACAATCTGCGGTATGATCACATGCTATATAATTTTAATAGTATTGCCTTAATTAGCTAAGTGATAATTCCAAAATAAGAATATAGCTATTTAATATTTTTTACTACAAAACAAAAAATAATCCTAAAAATTGTAAATTATTCTTGAGATATGACATTTGATTGAGAGTAAATATTCAATTATTGTGAATTTTAACTAATTTTATATTGCAGATGCAATCAATGACTAAAAGAGGATTACGATTATTTTATTCAGAGGATGAAGGTGATTCCAGTGATGATGGAAACAAAATGGCACTAGCAACGGTAAAATAAATAAGTAATTTTATCGATGACTACATCGGTAGTATTTGGTGTTATTATTCGTTAATTTGTTATTATTAATTTTATTCAAGGTGATGCCAAGAAAAGAAGAACGCATAGGTGCAGGAGATAGACTGACTTTAGATATAGGTGCTTTGAAACGCCAGTACGCTCGCTTGCGTGAGCGACAAAGACAAGCTCATGTGATATTGGCTGCTGCGTGTGCCAGACATGCGGCAGGTAATTCCTGAATACCTTATACATATACGATCCTCAATTACAATAAAATTTGAAAATTATAAAAAGTAAAATATTTTTTACAGTTGGAGTGCCCACTTCGCCGACTTCCCTAACAGTTAATAATCTTCTACTGGGAAAAAGTGCCATTGTTAGTTCACGAGGACGACGATTAGGAGCCCCGCCCGGAGCAATACCACCTTTACGGCAGTCAAAGATAGTTGAAAAAAGTCCAGAAGTTGGACCACGAGCTCGTTCGAATGAAACAATCAGTTGGAATGAAGAAAAGAGCCGTAAATCACTTAGCAGAAGGAATTCTGTTAAGTGGAAGGATATCAGAAAAGATAAATCATTTGAACGTAAGAGAAAAACGTCAATAGATTTAGACGAAATTGGAGATGGGGTAATTGTGTCTGAAATTGAAGCTAATCAAATGATAGCATCGATAAGATCAAGGAGTTCTAGTGAAACTTCCACTTATTCTTCAAACACTTCGAGTACCGATACAAGTCTTTGTGATGAAAATGAACGCGGTAGTGATTCTGAACCGGATATTTCAGATGACGGTAAAGAAAAAAGAAAAGAATCTTCCGGGATAAAGGGCACCCATTTGCATAAAGGGTACCCGATGGTTTTGAAGGAAACAAAAATTGCACCCTGCAATCCTTTGAAAGAAGAATCTGGGTTCAATAATGATAACAACAAACTCTACAATTGCAGTGAACAATCTATAAAATCTATAACAGAATATCTTGACTCTGCTGCAGGGAAACCTCTTCGTACTTACATTGGTGGGTTTGAAACTAAACTAAAAGATAACATGAATATAGATAATGAATGTGACGATTCTCTTAAAAGAAATGTTTTACCACAATCTTCTAGTCTAGTTTCAGATAAAAGTGACATTTTACAAAGAAACTGTTCCATGAATTCATCAGATTTAATGCCGCCTACAAATATTCCCAAAACTGCTAACAATTTTACTGACCTAAGTCCTATTGACTTGTCGCCTTATAATTACAATAAGTCACCATTTGACTACGATTTTGCATCCAACTTTATACGTCCAGTAAATACGGAAGCTTCACCATCTATAAGACCCCCGGACATAATTGATTCTTTTACTATGTATCCTAACTTCGTACCTGATATAGATTTATCTGATAAGAATATATCGGATGTAGACAGTCCACCAAAAAGCCCCGGTGCTGAAAGTATCATAGTGAGTGAAGATGAGCCACCCATACCATTAAAGATTGACAAATATTTTGAACACAGTCCAGAGTTTTTCGGTGCTCGAATCACTGACCCAAACAGCACAGAAATACCGAACAGACGAGCTACAAGAAGACTTTCACGGCAACCTAAAAAACCTGATTCCTTAACATTACAAAGTAACCTAAATGATAGAAAATTTAAAGAGGAAACCGAAAGAGCTTCTTCGTTGCCTCAAAGTCATAGTTTTCAAAATAAATCTTGCGACCTAGTAGAAATCATACCTAAAGTACAAGTGCTTGAGTTGACTGATCAAACAAAATACGATCAAAGTTCTAATTCTCCAAAAGAATATCTTTCAACAATCGGTAGGAAAAATAGTGAAAGAGCCTTACAAATTATTCAAGAAAATTCTAAAATTTTAAGTAGAATATTAACAAAACAAAATATTTCTGAAACTCCATATTTTAATCAAAGCCTCAGTCCTAATGTAAGCGAAGAAAAATCAGATAAACTTACAAGTTTGCAATGTTATAAAATACCAGAAAAAACTACTCTACTAAAAGAATCTACCTCAGACTCATTAATTGGATACCGGAAAAGGTATTCAAAAAATGATCATAACGATAACGACTTTATGAGAATAAGACCGATATCTATTGATGATCCATTTTCTTTAGAATCTCGAAACGTAGCATTATCAAAAACAGAAGACTTTAAAACAACAAAAAGTCCGAGTAGTGAATGCTTAGGTAATAAAACAGATTGTTATGGATGGGAAAATAAAGCTTTTTTAGGTAAATGTGAATTAAATAAAATCATAGAAAAGTCAGAAATTAACTCCATAAACAATCCTGGTCAGAAAGGAAACGAATTATCCAGTCAGAGTGACTATAAAAAAGAAATAAATTCTTCCACAACTCCAGTCTGGATGAAGCGATCTTTTTCGCGTGAATCGAAAACTTCGGTGACGTTGCCATCAACGGAAACGAGAGATACTTCCTATGACCGTAAATTTGGTTCGGATGAATATAGTTATCCACTGTCCAAAAAATATAATGACTTTGTTATTTCTAGGGCTAGTGATATATGTAGTGAAACGGTCAACGAAGGACCAAAAATCTGTGAAAAAATATCTAAGACTGAAAACAGCCAAGTTAGTGATTTTGCTCATGTTGTGACTTCTTCTATTAGTTTCACTTATGAACCTTCCTTAGACGACGATTCTGGTGGGGCAAAAAGTAATTCGAGTGACACTTTGTGTCAAATTACTTCACTTGATCAAGTTTCTACTCCAATCTCACCTAAAATATTCCCAAAGGATACCTCATCTATGCCAAGAGAACAGTGCGAGCGGGTAGATAAAACCAAAGCAGACTCTGACGATACGTGTAGTGCAATAACTTCTCTTATAGAAACAGACACACTATCTTCTCTTTCATACCCTCAGAGTCCGTCAACAGGTTCTTACCACCCATTCCCTGCACGTCCAGTCATGCGTATGCCTAAAGACATTGGAGTGAAACTTGGAATGTATCCAAAAGATGTCATTAGTTCTCCACCAAAACAATGAGACTTAAGTTTTTGAGCTGTTTTATTAATAACCTCTTACAAGCACCCTCAAATTCTTCAAACTTCCTTAGTCTTTTTTTTTTCGATCGTTTAATAACTTTCAAAATATTTTTATCACTAAGTTTTTTGCAAAGTTCGCTTCTTCGAACGAAACACATTTTATTTACGTCAAGTTAAATGACGTGATATTTGCTAACAGTATTGAAATCATAAATGTAACTATTAAAACCAAACATGATGTCAAACATAAAATTCAAATAAATCACAGCACTGGTAAAGTGAAGGATTATTGATTTGTTAGAATATAGTATAATATTTTTCATAATTCAACTAAAATTATTAAATAAATGTGAACATGTTGCCTTGAAACCAATTTAAGTGAAGAATTGTGAAAATATCCATACAATATGGAATTGTAAATCAATAAATTTAGATGTAGACTATATTATATATAGACGGTACAATATTGTTTATTATGTACTTAAACTGTTAAAGATAAAATAAACGTAATAATGATTTTAAAACTCGACACGGCAAAATGACGATTGCTTTATTTATTACATTTCATTTATAATACAAAATACAATAACTCTAATTAAATAAAAATACGATGCGATCGCTATAAATGTATATTTTATTATTAAAAATCCCATGTTCTTCTTTTAGATAATGTGTATTGAAATCTCTATAAACACCTATCTANAGATAAAATAAACGTAATAATGATTTTAAAACTCGACACGGCAAAATGACGATTGCTTTATTTATTACATTTCATTTATAATACAAAATACAATAACTCTAATTAAATAAAAATACGATGCGATCGCTATAAATGTATATTTTATTATTAAAAATCCCATGTTCTTCTTTTAGATAATGTGTATTGAAATCTCTATAAACACCTATCTATCATAGTCAACATTCCTTAAAAGTTAAAAGTCATCGATCACAGGTGGGCACGTGCAAACAAGATGTTTGTCACCATACATATCATCAATACGACCAACCGTCGGCCAGATTTTGGTCTCTCCTTTAACGAATGGCTGGAAACACAAAACATTTAAATACATAAATAAAAATATACCAAAATTCCGAAGCAGAAAAACTAAACATACCGCTGGAAAAGCAGCTTGCTCCCTGGTATACGGACGATTCCATTCTTCTGAGATAACTTCTTCTTGCGTATGTGGAGCCAACTTAAAAATTTACATCAGTATTTAATTGATAAAATAATCTAATAAGAAATCTTAACTTACTTTTTTATTCGAGAAATGATTTTTACCTTTAATGGATTTAATCTATTGTCAATAAGACCATCTTCGATATCTTTAATTTCCTTTCTGATGGTAATTAGAGCATCGCAGAAACGGTCCAATTCTTGTAGATCTTCGGATTCTGTCGGTTCTATCATAAGCGTCCCCGCAACCGGCCAAGACATTGTTGGAGCATGAAATCCTGTATTGAAAATGTAAAATTCAAATTAATAGATAATTATGCCGTTCACTAGAGATTATAATTTCTGGATCTATTATTTTGAAGTTATTTCGTAAAGTTAAAAAAAGTAACGAGTGATATTTCGCTTGTAAATCGGTATATCTTATATTTTATACGAAATAAATGAAGGAAAATCTTTAAAATACCAAATATTGAAACCATTTAAGTAGTGCGTATGTACCAATATATACTAAGGGAATCATAAATCTTACCAAAGTCCATAAGTCGTTTAGCAATATCTCCAGGTTCAATATTAGCTGTTTTCTTTAGATCTCTTACGTCGATAATGAATTCGTGAGCAACGAGGCCTCTTTCCCCTTTATATAGCGTCTTATAATGATCTTCCAATCTTCGAGACATGTAATTTGCATTGAGAATGGCTACTTGCGTTGCCCGCCTCAGTCCTTTCGGACCCATCATCTAAAAAGTTATATATTTCAATATTTTGATACTGTGAAAGGTTTGTTTTTATTTAAATACCGGATATTATTTCTGTTATATTGGTGTAGATTGGCCGATAAGCTATATTGATGGATAGATAAGATCCACTTGGTACTTCGTGACAGAAATATCGACTAATGTCACCAAACAGTTTTATATTTTTTATTATCTAAGGGGGTGAACGAAATCACACCCCGTCTGATGCAAAATGGGTACTGGAACCTATAAAAATCTCGATGATGAACCAAATGATCAAATCACAGCCAAAATAAATAGAAATATGTTGTGCTGTTTATTTTTCAATATTAAAAAAAAAAAGGAACGTTATGCTCAAATCTATACGTCGTTTATTAGTAATAAAAATAGGTATAAATTTAGAAATAATTATAGCATAATGATAGATTGAAAAAACACATTAGAAACTCATAAAGTATACTGTAAAATTAAAAACATCAAACGCTTATAGCCACAGAGCTCTCTCACAACCACAAAGGACACTCTTGCTTAGGGCTCTCACAAAGGTGTCATAATATAAAGGTAGAATTTTCTACCACTTACGCGAATCGTAAATTATTATTAGGGTTTAACCTCGCGTTTCTAATTGTCATTATATTTTATTTGCGAAATTTCAATGACTTTAGAGTTTAGCTCACGGATGACTGGGTTATGACGTTTTCACGTTGACAGTGATATTATACATTACCTTAATATAAGCCCAAGATATAGGTAGAATAGCTGACGAGCCAAATGGCGCAGCGCTGACTGAACCGAAGCTATGAGCCGCGTCTCCTAAATCGGCCAACGGATCGACAACAGGATGCGATGGTAAAAACGGTGCGAGATGCGCTTTTCTAATGAAATATATAACAAATTTAGGAACGTCTGCGATGCGTGCATCTGATGCAAGGGGTTACACTTTTTGTAACTGGGCACGTGCATAGCAGAAAACGAATTGTCTGGAAGTTACATGTACGTGGCACAGCGCTTTTCCAATACAACTGAAACTCTGAAATCTGATGAAGGTGTGGCGGTGTTGTGTACTTTCTTTTTTTTTTGTTTCCTACCTACGCTGATAGTCTTGAGAGGCTATATCAGCGGAACCTTAAATAGTAGGTGAGCTCACGGGGCTCAAACCTGACGACGATGCTGACACGAACCCTAGCAAGAGCCGTGCTTCGCAGAATCTACCACGGATCGAAACCGCAACCCACTGAGAAGATCCGGCGAGAAACTCAGTGAGCTGTGTCTGAGGGTTAATTTACTCGTCGAGCTCTTCGTCGCAAGCGACAGGTTCGATGACAATAATGACCGGTGCTTGAGGTACCTAAAAGCACCGTTAGTGGATCGGGAGGATCCGAGATGACGTGTTTGGGGCGACGTCGACTGCTTTCCATTCTGTCCGCAGGATCGGGAATGTAGTTACCGGCGGCCACGATGAGAGGGTTCTCGTGTCGTGCCGCTTTATCGAAGTGGTGCATCGACGCCGACTGTAGATACTTAATGATGGACTCTTAGTCCAGGTCGTCATGGAGGTCGACGTTCCTGACGAACCACGGGGCTCCGACGGCTATTCTGCAAAAACGGGATTGAATGATTTGGAATCATTTTAAGTGAGTGCGTGCCGCATGAGCGAATACTACAGTTGCATAGGTAATGACGGAGCGTATGCAAGTTTTGTAGAATGTCACCTTATTTCTAAGGGACATTTTACTTCGCCTGCATATCATCGGGTAGATGTTGGGTCCGTGAACACATCCGCCCATATATTGCACTAAAAATGGTCATTCTTGGTAGTATATTATTACGAAAAATCAATTTGTTCACCATGCTTTATTATCGTCGTCTATACCTATATCTTCAATAATTTATATGCATATAGAAGTCGATGTGTGTATTTTACCTATAGACTCCGAAATGACTGAACGAATTCGACGAATTCTTCAAGTAAATCTTCAGATTGGCCTAGCGGAAGACCGCGGGACACATGTTAATAATACTATAATAAAAACGACCTGGTATTTCATCCAATTAATAGCTCTTCGAGACTGAGGCATGAGGTCGGAAGAATTTATAACCGCTGTACCACCCTTCAAACTAGTAATTGCGCAATCTCATAAATATTGCTGTTGTGATTTTTATTCCTTTCGAAAAAACGTGAAATACGTATGTTTTTAATTCTTTTAAAAAATTGATACTCGCCTGCGGGATTTGAACATCGACAGAGTCAAGTGTCCTGTCACGCCTACAAGGTGCCTCATTTTTATTTTAAAATATCTTGTAATATACTGTGCTATAAAACGTACAAAATAATTCACAACAATTACATATAAATTATTAAAAAAAGCTCACACTCCAATGGGTCCCATGCCAGGTCCGCCGCCACCATGTGGAATACAGAACGTCTTATGGAGGTTGAGATGAGACACGTCACTGCCGTAATCTCCAGGACGACATAAACCGACCTAGATTGATTTTTTCTTTATATTTTGCCTTAGAAAAATTTACTAATCGACAACAACAAAAAATCCCTTGAAAACAGAATATGAATAAATATATGCTTATTCTTCAACTCCAACAGAAGAAAGTCATTTGTAAATTATTAATTTATTTGTAAGTGAATTTGACCTGCGCATTCATGTTGGCACCGTCCAAATAGACTTGACCTCCGTGCGCGTGCACCAGGGCACATATATCCGCCGCTTTTTCTTCAAAGACGCCGAAAGTACTTGGGTAAGTCAACATTAGGCACGAAACTTTCTCACTGTGTTCTTCCACCTAGAAAAACAAAAAACGAACAACTAAAAAAAATACCATCGTAAAAAAATCACACAAAATAGGATTATGTACGATTTTAAATTCCACAGGTTTTTTACCAACGTATAAATGTTCTCGTCATTTCCACGCAAAAGAGTGCACAAATAAACATGAAATAATGAAATAAAAAACCGCATGAGGTGATTACACCCATAAATTTTATATGAATTATTGCCATATTTGCGACTAGACGAAACATATTTTAAGATTTACATTATTTATACAAATGCTTGTGAACGGAATGCATTCATAAAACTGAATTCCTGTTCGGCGTATTGAAAGAAAATCGTAAAATTTAGATGGCTACATTTGCCACTATTTACACATTATTTTATATATTTAACTTTTTTGCGAGCGGCTCCTTAAAAAAATAACACTTCACCAAAATACGATTATTTTAACATATTTTTTTTAAATCACTCGCTAAGCAGCTGCCCTTGGGCTGTTAGATCTCCTTCGGAGGCACTCGGGTAGCTGTTAGCAAATCCCACCACTCCTGGCAGGGCCTTTGCTCGCCCACCTATCCTGATGAATCCGGAAAGGCATAGGTGCCACCAGTAAACCTTCCTTCATAAAAAATCTTTTATACAGACGGAAAAAGATTATATAAGATTTGTGAAACAAATGGACTAAAAATTTCAATGTTTAAACCACCTGTTAATGAGCAAAAGAATTGAAATAGGTATAAATTTAAGCGAGTGGATCTCACCATGTCCTTAAGATGAGCCATATCGATGTCACCAGTTGGCGTGACCCGTATGGCGCAGACGCGCATGCCGGCCATGTGCGCGGACGCCGGGTTGGTGCCGTGCGCGCTCACCGGGATCAAGCAAATGTTCCGCCCTGCGTCCCCGCGGTACTCGTGGTAGCGCTTTATTGTGCGCAACCCCGCATATTCGCCTTGGGCCCCACTACAAATTACACCACCGGCTCAAATCAATACCAAATTCATTGATTCAAGCCTGCAACTAAGTTTTTTTTTTATTGCTTCAATGGGTGGACGAGCTCACAGCCCACTTGGTGTTAAGTGCTTACTGGAGATGGTTGTAGATGTCTATGGGACATCTACAACGTAAATGCGCCACCAAAGTTGATATATAAGTTCTAAGGTCTCAGTATAGTTACAACGACTGCCCCACCCTTCAAACCGAAACGCATTACTGTTTCACAGCAGAAATAGGCGAGGTGGCGGTACCTACCCGTGCGGACTCACAAGAGGTCCTACCACCAGTTAAAATGACGATGAAGGATAGAGAATAAGGATAAGGTTATGCATGAGAGATTGTATTCATAACTATCACCCGCAGTTTCAAAAAAGGAATCTATAAGAGAATATAATTATTACACCTTATTTACTCGTATAATATGCAAGCAAAATACACCGGTAGAAGTAGTTTACTCCATAAGAATAAAATGTGTTACACATCTGGATTGAGTTGACGAAGTTAGTATACATTAATATATTCCGCCGCATCAATGCCATTCCTATACCAAAATAGTACCTACTAAGGATCAACGCAATTCAAGGACGAAGAACGTAGGCAATAATTAGTACTAATATACTAGAATACCCCATTATCAGGTTGGTCTTTCTTAAGAAAATCACTACAATTTTCAAGGTACAAATTAATAAGTATTTATTAGGAAAGAGCGCAAAAAGAGATAACAATACATACCTATTGGGTTGGAAAGACACCCGATCGTATCCTGTTATAGCACAAAGATCGTTAGCAAGTTCCTCGAACAGTGTATGATATCCTTGACATTGCTCCAATGGAGCGAAAGGATGTATGTCCGTGAAATGCTTATACGAACAAGGCATCATCTCGGTTGTGGAATTCAATTTCATTGTACAGGAACCCTAAAATAAAATATATAATAAAACCAAAAAAGGTATTATTCAAAACAAGTTATTTAAAATCAACAATTTTCTTTTAAATCTACAACTTCCACTCACAAAAGTTTATGAACAATAGATTGAAGAGAGAATTACGACTAAAGACATTGAAATTATGAGTGTTATCTTAAAACTCTCCAAATTGGCTTACGTTAAAGTGTATACTATATACATTTTTCTCTACCAATCATTTTGACAAATCAACAAATTTACTTAAAATCACGAAGGGTATTTGTTCTACATATTCTAAAAAAAGAATAGGGGAAAGATTGAGCTTCATAGAACTGTTATCGAAACTAAAAATCCAACAAGAAATCTCGTAACTCGTAAGATGAACATAAGACTATAGATATAGACTATTCGACACATCTATATCGTACGGTTTGCAAATTAAGCCTTCGTGCCAGATATTGTCAAACGCGCTTGCGATGTTGAAAAAGAATATCTTTAAGGTCTAAATGAAGGCTAATTAATCGTCTAACTAGCACCTTGGATAAAACTAAGATAATATGCTGTTTAAAATGTAAATATGCATATAAATAAATCACCGGGAGTAACACGACATCGAATGGCACGCGCTCTTATCAAGCAAGGTTTTACTTACAAGCGGTATCATGGAGTGTACAAGAGATATATCCTTGTTTTCGAGACGTTTCATGTACCTCACGAGCTTCGTTTCTGAGTGGTGCATGTTGAACACAGGGTGAGTGAGATACGGTGAGGTCCTTCTGAATGGACCTTTCAATACACTCTTAGACAAGATATCTTCGGTTTGCGTCACCTGTAGTTAAACTGAGTATTGAGTGAGTGAGTAGAGAGTACTGAGTATTCAGATTGTAGTTAAATTGAGAGTAATTGTTATTCTGTGATCACGCGAGCGCTTTTTTAAATAAGATATTAAACTAAAGATTTGTCTGAACAATAAAATGTTTGTTGCCAAATATAATTCTGAAAAAGTGAAAGAAAGTCTGGTTTGGAAGAAAAGTCTGGTCATTCATAGCGACGCGCCAATAAAGACGTGATCGAATTCATATTTATTACAATAAATACTAATACCCGATGTTTTAGTACATTAATCAATATTTGATAAATAATGTGTATGTACAATTTACCATAATTGAAGTTAGTTTCACACAGAAAAAACAAGTAAGTGTCTTAGATTACACCTAGGATAAAGTTTCTTAAAGTTTATCATTGGCTTCTTTGAATCGCGAAAAAAATCCTACCTCTTGTACGTTTTTGCAGTCAAATATCCAAAGTAAATCTTCAATGTCCTTCATTGTGGTCGTTTCATCCAAAGCGACTCCCACCGCGCCTTCATCGAAATACCTAAGGTTAACCTTCTTCTCTTCCGCTCTAGCTTTAATGGCACTCGCATCATGATCTGGACTAGGCACTACATAGAGTGTGTCAAAGTAAACATCGTTTGATTGTTTGTGACCGCGCATCTTAATACCTGGAAAAGTACAAATCACGATGACTATAACTATGAATGGTCTAAAAAAAGTAAAACAATTAAAATTAATACATTTAAGCAAACGCACAATAATTTATATCAATATACTAGCGACCCGTCCTCGCTTCGCTTCGGAAACTGCAATTTATTATTGAGTTCTCCACTATTTAATGGATGTTATCATACATATAAACCTTCCTCTTCAATCACTCTATGTATTAAAAAAAACCGCTTCAAAATCCGTTGCGTAGTTTTAAAGATTTGAGCATACATAGGGATATACGGACAGAGAAAGCGATTTTGTTTTATACTATGTAGTGATGTTATATTTAACACGATTATTGAATACACAAAAATCAATAAAAAGTGAAACTTCAACCATGATAATGATTTAACAACAGAGCGAGCCGTCTGCCCAATTGAGCTATTAAAAATGCTAATTAGGTAAAATAACAGTGATTTAGAAGACACATAAGTATCTGAAATAAGTTTATGCCTGACAAATGAAAAACATTTAAACACCGTAGTGAATTAAATAAATCTATTGTAACGATTTAATCTCGCTTTTTATCCTTATTTTATTCGCATAAAAATAAATAACTTAAAAAATAAATGCAAGATTAAAATCGTTAAAGTATTTTTAATTATTTTCAATTCTCACGAAGACCGAAGAAAGTATGTATTGAGTTACCATGGTCTAGCACCAATGTTGCATTGTGCACACGAGTTGCTATTTCTCTTAGACCTTGTGGTCCATGGTAAACCGCATACATGGCAGACATGTTCGCCAGGAGCGCCTGGGCGGTACAAATATTAGATGTCGCTTTATCGCGTCGGATGTGTTGCTCTCTAGTTTGTAGGGCTAGCCTGTTTGAAACGATAAATATATTAAACAATCCTAAATCTTTAGTGAATTAATAACCCCAGACTCAAAAAGCCATAAGCATATTGTTTGTTGTATCAATAAGCTATATTATACCAATACGATAGAGAAAATCAGGAATTTGATGATTTTCTTTATTGTTTGCATTGTCTGTTTACTTATTGAAATGAATTAATTACATGTCCTCTAAATGTATACTTCTGGATTGATTACGGATGGTGACCGGTGCTTGAGGTACCTAAAAGCACCGTTAATGGATCGAGAGGATCCGTAATGACGTGTCTACGGTGACGTCGACTGTTTAGCATTCGGTCTACAGGATTAGATGATATTCAGAACCAGCCATGATCCTAAATTCCAAGTATATCATCCAGTTGTATAGTGATCGAAACTGTAAGCTACTAGATCAACGATATCACGAAAGGATCATCCTTTGAAGAATCTGTCAAAAATACAACAGTAAGTATCTCTGAATGAAATTCTGAAATATATAATAAATACATTTACGTTATATTTGTCAATAATATAAATCAAATATTACATTTAATAAATACATTAATAAGAAAAATATTATAATAAAAATAGAAGGGGGTATAGTTACCCTTACTTTAGAAAGCAAGAGAAAATAAAATAAACGATTTTTTAACTACCATTTTGTAATCGGTCTGGTTATTCATTCGATTACACCGTTTTCACCAGTAGACATAGATTAATTTGGAGCAGAAAATAGATATTACTCAACTAAAATAGCGCATTGCAAAACCGTACCGTCATTTAGTTCGATATTAGAAAGTTAATAGCAAATAATATTATTAATTCGAACGTACATAGCACTCTTGTGTTACGTTTTTACGTCCAAACCGCTGAACCTATTTGCACCAAATTCGTTATGGTAATAATTTGTACTCTGGGAAAGTGTATAGGATACCTTTCATCTAATTGCTAAGTACGGATCTCCGCCTACGCGATATAAAGTGTAGACCATGAAGACGAAGCTGATAACAGTTAGCTAGTTTGTAAATAAATACCTATAAGCATCCCTTCCTGTAGTGTCTCGAGTGACACCGACCATTCGGCCGGGCATAAGACGAACTAGTTGATGTTCTGCTGCGAAGAAACCAGCGTGAGGTCCTCCGTATCCCATAGGCACTCCCAATCTTTGTGAGGTGCCCACAGCTAAAGCCGCCCCGCATTCCGCAGGGGGTCTAATTAATGCGAGCGCCAGGAGATCTGTAGCTACTACCACCAATGTCTAGAACATAAAATGTATCTACATCTCGATGCTGAGAAGTGGTATTGATAAAAATGTTCGCATTGGTTTCAGCTCAGGTAAGTCGCAGTGTAACGCAAAAACTCGATGGCGTGGCAACATATTCCCGCGCGAATTAGCAGCACCATCTCACCTATTTCTATCGTGAAGCAGTACATTCTTTGACGGATAGGACAAACGGTAGATGGTTGTATTGTATTAACGAGCGAACGAGCTCACAGCCCACCTCGCTTCAAGTTACCGAAGACCTTTAAGCTACTTTGGGACATCAGATAGTTTCGTCCCAATTATATTGCATTCTGGTGATCCTAACCATCAAACTAGAATACGTGACCGATTTGTGGTGGAAATAGGCAAGACGGTCCCCTCCACGGTGTTTGCCGAGCGCTATGACATGTCCTTCTTCAAACGAGGCTTGCGGAGAGTACTTAATGATAGGCAGCGGCTTGGCTCTGCCCCTGGCATTGCTGACGTCCATGAGCGACGGTGGCCACTTACCATCAGGTGGGCCGTATGCTCGTCTGCCTATGAAGGCAATAATTAAAAATGCTGGTGACTATCGGTGCCGGTTTCCACTACGAGGTGCCATCTGGGGGTACGAATAATTACGATTTTAATGACACGGTGTTATTCACTTATTAAGCACGTGTTTCCTTAGATAAACAAGTACATATGCACCGGTATAGTCGTATCACTTGATATGAATAAACTAGGCGTCTTGTCCTTTAGGCGAAAAAAGACCAATACAATAATTACATAATAATTCGATCTGATATTTCAGAGGCAGCCTTACGTTGTAGTGTTTATGAGCTCTGATAACCACCTAAGATCAGGCGGATCGTATGCCATTGTGGATTTGCCATTTAACAATCCCCATATTATTATTATTTATTGCTTAGATGGGTGGACGAGCTCACAGCCCACCTGGTGTTAAGTGGTCACTGGAACCCATAGACATCTAGAACGTAAATGCACCACCCACCTTGAGATATAAGTTCTAAGGTCTCAAATATAGTTACAACGGCTGCTCCACCCTTCAAACCGAAACGCATTACTGCTTCAGAGCAGAAATAGACAGGGTGGTACCTACCCGCGCGGACTCACAAGAGATCCTACCAGCAGTAAAGCCATATCACACACACTCTGTTTAACTACTTAGTTAAACGATTTCAAAACTACTTTAATTGCAAAGCGGAAATGTAATCAGAACTTAACAAATTTAATATATTTTTAATTATAAATTAGCTCACTAATAACACTAACCCCGTGCTCATGGGCGGCGGCTGCTAGGCCTGAGTAGTCGTAAACTAGGCCCCTAGTATCAGGGCATTGTAAGAGCACTGCGGAAATATCCCTCTGGGCGAAATCCACATGCCGCACGTCAGGAACTACCAGAACATCTAAGCCCAGCGCATCCATTCTAGTGTGCACTACAGCTAGCGTCTGGGGATGCAATCGTTCGGACACGACGAACTTTGTTCGTTTGTTATGCCTGTATGTTGGAATAAAGGCGAAGAAATTTGATATCAGAAAGCAACTCGTTTTAATTCTCTTTGAAATAATTCGAATATGACGTAGGTTATTATTTCTATCCGTCTCGTGTAGTGAACGAGAGAGAGTAGTAGAACGTCCGTCTGGTGTAGTGGTAAGTGACATGGTCACTACACTAGGGGGTCGCGGGTTCGAATCCCACCAAGGGAAGATATTTGTATGATAAATATAAATGTCTTTTACAGGGTTATGGATGTATATTAAATATATGTATGTGTATAATAAAAATATTACATTTATTTCCGTTATCTGGTACCTGTAACACAAGTTCTTTACGAACTTACCACGGGACCAGTTAACGTGGCGTGATTGTTAGTAAATATTTATATTTATATTTATATTCTATCTTGTGATTTTTATTTTAATGTATTGAATAATTATTTCATGTATCTGTTGAAATTTGCTACAGGTTTTGGAATCTAATATTATCCTAACTAAAATTAAGCCGTTTGAAAATTTTAATATTATTCAATACTTGGATTACCATAGTGTACCTGTTTGGTACTTTTAGGTACCACAAGCACCGGTCACCGTCCTCGTCGAACCCGTCGCTTGCGACGAAGGTTTCGACGAGCGAATTAACCCACAGACCCAGCCCACTGAGTTTCTCGCCGGATCTTCTCAGTGGGTCGCGTTTCCGATCCGGTGGTAGATTCTGCGAAGCACTGCTCTTGCTAGGGCCAATGTTAGCAACACTCCGGTTTGAGCCCCGTGAGCTCACCTACATGTTAGGGCGAAGCTGAAATAGCCTCTCAAGGCTATCAGCATAGGTAGGGGGAAAAAAATAAGTACCTGTGACACAGTGAAAGTGCTTCGGCAGCAGCCGTACCCTCATCCAGTAAGGAAGCATTAGCAACGTCCAATCCAGTCATGTCACTAACCATCGTTTGGTAATTAAGCAAGCTTTCAAGTCGACCTTGTGCGACTTCTGGCTGATACGGCGTATATTGTGTAGTCCTGGAAAAAATGTTTTTCTTACATTGAACTAATGTACATAAGTTAGTTATAAACATCAATATCTTGTTCTGTTAACTACTATGACTAACGTTGGTTGCTAAATTTTCTGTAGAAGTATAGAAAAGAAATAAAGTAAATTCAATTAATTATATTAGGTCCTTACATATAAAATTTGCGTTTTATACGGGAGGAATATCAAGTCATTTTTTGTAAAATATATTTAATTAATCAAAGTATGCACCGTTGTTATCTATGCACTTTTGCCATCTCATAAGTAGTTCATTGATCCCTTTATCAAAAAAAACCATGGGGGCGAGAATCAATAAACTCTTTAAAGGCGGTTTGGACTGCCGCATCGGAGTTGATTTTTTTTCCTAGTAAGAAGTTGACCAAATTCCGGAAAAAAATACGGTGGATGTCGCAGACATTCCAATTGTAGTTCATCTAACTTATTAGTTGTTTGTTGTGCCGTGTGTGGTCTTGCGTTGTCGTGAAGCAGCAGTGGCCCAGAGCGATTGACCAATCTCGGTTGTTTAGCAGTTAGTTTAGGTTTAGGGCAGGATTTAGCTGGGTCTCCAAGGTTCAGCCATTGCGACGAGCGCTTCCGATAACCGTACAGTATCCACTTTTCACCAAAAGTAATGATTCGATTTAAAATCTCTTCATTATTGTATCTGTTGAGCAAAATAACACAGCAGTCGACGCGTGTCTGCAAATTCGATTCTCTCAATTCATGAGTTAGTTACCCATCGTTCAAGTTTTTTACTTTTCCGATTTGCTTCAAGTTGATTAATACAGTTTTATCAGTTACCGCGAGGCCTGCTGCTATCTTTGAAGTGCTTTGTGATGAATCCGCTTCCACAATAGCCTTTAATTCTTCATTTTCTCCTTTGGTCTCCGGTCGGCCACGGGGTTAATTCTTCAGAACTTCCGACCTTCAGGTCGAAATTTCCAGAACGAAAACGTTGAAGCCGAAAACGTACCGTGCTTTCTTTTGCGACACCAGCGCCGTACACATTATTAATCCTTGGAGCTGTTTCTGCAGCAGTGGTGCCACGATAGAACTCGTACTCGTAAATATACCGATATTTCATATTTTCCATTGTGCGGTAATAAGCGACGCCAAAGAAAAAAATTATGAGGAAAAAACAAATGAATGACTGTTTTCCACACTCAAATGTACCACCTAAATGAATTTATAAATTTGAATTTAGAATTCTTAACCAAAGAGGAGATATTTCAGATCAAAGTGGTTAGTACGACAAAACGCTAATTGCATAAGTACGGACCTAATATAATATTTTTAATTAATTGATTTTAATACAAAACAAATTTAGTCAAAATGCTTTCTTTGTAAAATAACTTTATGATTCAATAGATAATATATAGCTAACTCGATTATTTTTAGAGTATTTCACGATCAAAGATTAGAGTCGTAAAATCAAAATGAGATTGGCAAAAAATGTTTTTAATAATAAAAAACCAAATATTAAACAAAACAAAATTGTTTAATATTTGGTACCATTGCGAGCCCGCACGGTGGTTACTATCGTTCTGCTTAATTCTACCGCGTAACAGCCATTTTGGCTTAAAGAATTGGGACATCATCATCAGCCTGTATCTATCCATTTTTCTAATAAAATACGTACTCAACAAATGTTCACGATTGACTTCCACGGTGAAGGAATAACATCGTGTAATAAAAGTGAAACCCGCAAAATTATAATTTGCGTAATTACTGGTGGTAGGACCTGTTGTGAGTCCGCGCGGGTAGGTACCACCGCCCTGCCTATTTCTGCCGTGAAACAGTAATGCGTTTCGGTTTGAAGGGTGGGGCAGCCGTTGTAACTATACTGAGACCTTACAACTTATATCTCAAGGTGGGTGGCGCATTTACGTTGTAGATGTCTATGGGCTCCAGAAACCACTTAACACCAGGTGGGCTGTGAGCTCGTCCACCCATCTAAGCAATAAAAAAAATAAAAAAAACATCTCTCCACTGCTGGATCTAGGTCTCTCCCATAGTCCGCCATCATGAACGGTCCTCCGCTTTCCGCTTCAAATCTTTTCCCACATATCGACGCTAGGCGTCGGTCGGCCCAACGCAAGAATTGGGACACATTTAAATAATTGAAACATCGATTTCATGTCACAAGTTGAGTTTGCCATGTTGTCTTTGGGCTTCAACATTTTAATAATAAGTGGGCCGTGAGTTCATAAATATGTAGTTCAAAAGCAAACAAAAAGAATATTACCATCCGGGATTTTCAAACATGTTCCTCATGATGGCATGCGGTACGCAACAATTGTGGTAACCCATTCCGATGTAAGATCGCCATATTTCATTCTTTTCAGCTATCAACCTAACCCGTTCTATTAGGTCGTATTCACCTAAAATTTGTTTACGTAGATGCAGCAATGACAATTATTAAATTTCAATATTAAATACCATTATAGAAGATCTCTAAGATTTAGATTAATTTTATACACTTAATAATATTTCTGTTATTTTAGATAATTTGTAAAAAAATACTCTCATCTTCTAGGGATAGCAATAATATTCGTTAAAAAAATCAAAAATCGGAACGATGATAATTAGCTGCTTTTTCTTTTTAAGTATGTATATGTACGTATATGTACAAACAACAGCTGTATTGGTTGGTTGTTGGTTGTGGTGCGATATGTAGCAACACCACAGTTCTCACACAATCACTGAAAATGAAACCACACCCACCCTGTTTTTTTCATTTCTACCTCCCAATCCGGAAAATATTAGATACTTTTCAATTGCTACTCACTTATGGGCTCACTGATATTCATAAGACCTTGGAATTGAATCTTCTTTGGTACTGCATCATTGGTTAACTGGTCTAAACTCTGAAACACCAAGCTAGTCACAGTCATTCTAACATTACGCGGGAAAAGTTTTGTAGGTAAGGACAATGTTTTGTAGTAAACTCAAATTCTGCAATATAATTGAATTATCAACGACATTTATTGCTCTTTGATACATGCTCTTTTTTCTTCATAATATTCAGGTAATAGGATAATATGGGCTGATTTTTCAATTATTAACTCTTAGGATTAAAAACGTAAAGAAATCACATGAATAAATACTTCAATTATTTTACTTTAATGTTCAGTGACTGGTGATGTCTGTAAATACAGCCTTGAAGTATGAATTCACTATGGAAATTAAAAATAACCGACACAGAATAACTGTCTCACTTGAATAATTTAGTGTCATAATGCGTTACAAGACTTACCTTGTATCCTAATAAATCTAACATAGTAACTATATCCTGATCCCTTGGGCCAATGTGTCTACTCGGGAAGTCCACTCTATCTGGGAATAATGTATCAGAACGAGTACTTTGTGTTGTAACATGACGAATGGCACTTAGTATTTTATTTTCGAGATAAGTTTTATGAAAACCATCGATCGTACTCCTACTCATTAACTTTCCTTTTAAAAATCTCTGCATTATTAATAACAAATGACATAAATTGTACACAACATGTAGCGCTCACAAAAGCGTCTGAAGTAATGATAGAAAGGTCATCGTATTTACTTCAAGTTCATATGATAACAGGGAAACAAATAATTGCGGAGTGATCGTTAATAATGACCTATTATCTCATGTCTACAACGGAGGATCCGTATAACAAAAAAAAATGATTTTATTACATATTTTATAAAATGTCATTGATCACTTGATTGTTAAATAGTGGTAATTGTACTTTATTTTTATTGAAAATTCACTAGAAAATTTAGTCACGGGCGTAATGTTTTAAGGTCGAGCTGATCAAAGCGTATGTTCTGCTTAATAAATAATCCATGAGACTATTTTCGTGGAAGATCCTTTTTTTATGATTGAAGAATTACTGGTAGCCCGGTGAGGTGGCCTATCCTGTTTCACCAGGACAGGTGGGCGAGCACGGGTTGAGTCAAGAGGGGTGGGATTTGGAAGATCCTCTGCGCGTAACATACACGAAGTGAACATCATTTCTTATGACTTCCGTTTTCTCAAGATCTCAGATTTAAAACTTGGAAATAGGTAGATATTCATATGAATGACGAGACAACGCACTTCTAGAGGTCTATAAATGTTTCTCGCGGTAAAGGTTTACGGGACGCCAATGGTAATTTTTTTCATATCTTTTAGGCCACGAAGACTTGATGCTGCGTTTCAAGTTAGTTTCAAGTGAACAAAGTTTTTGTTTCATCCGAACAAAGCGCCTGCCGAACGTCGTTAGTTCGTTAGATCGGCCTCCAAGCATTGAAATAATATTTATACTTTAAGGCGGATTTACATTACGAAATTAGTGGCGTGAAATTAATTTCGTGACATTAGTTTTACTAACAGTTTCACGTGTAATTTAATACTTTCGTAATGCATGCATTAATTTCATGCATGGAAATTAGTTTCGTGCCCTGCGCGATTTTTTGGTGAAATTAATGTCATGCAACTAATTTCATAGTGACTGTAAACGCGACGTGAAACTAATGTCGCGAAAGGGCCTGCGCTGTGCGGACGTGTGTATTGTTAGTTCGGACGCGCTACAAACGTTGAAAATGGCAAACCAACGATGGAGTACAGATAAAAATATAGATCTTATTAATGAATATCAGCGACAACGGTGTCTCTGGGACCCGAAACACCTACAGTAAAAAAGGAAAATTATATTCACTCATTCGATAATAGTTTTTATAACTCTCAGGATCTTCATCTGCTAATTCAGAGACTAACTTCATTGCACCTAAATGCCTTCTTGTTGACCATCCTCGAATCTACCAACCTTTTTTTTCTTGATAGTCTTTTTTTTAAGTTTATAGGTATATAAGCATTTCTTTAGCTACACTGAATATAGCATATAGCATAGAATTTAGCTTTGATGGTGATGGCGCCATGGTTACTGCGATACTGTGGATTTCGCGACACTAATTTTTTGACGAAATTACTTTCGCATATATCGAAACTACTTTCGTGAAACTGAGCTCAACATGCATGACACTAATTTCGTAATGTAAATCCCGCATTAAAAATCAAAAACAAAACACAACCTATCATAACAAGATGGTATACAGACGTAAACAGATGATGACACATACGTAACACACAAACAAAATAATAACATTCGAATTGAGAACTTCCCTATTTTTTCAATCTAGTTGGCGATACCTACATGCTAATTTAATTTTTATAGACGTTTTAACTATTTTTAGACATGTCCTAGGATATTTTTATTATGCCATTATTAAAATACAGCACTATGGTGACGTCAACATGCCCTAGCCTGCCTGGGTTCAGTTCTATGCCATCCTAGACTCAGACGCGAGCTATTGCAAGACGGGGGGTTTTAAACGGTTCAACTTCGACTTGCCCTGCATACCCACTCCAATACATAAGCAGAAGTTTGGCGATTTCCTCCTGACCCAAAAAAAGTATAGTATTTTAAAAGTGTTTTGCCCAGACTTTTCCGAAACATGTCCTAATGCTAGTGTTGTATATACAGTGTGTCCGGTTATAGACTAGCGATATTCTAGATACTCATAAAACAACTATTTTAATACCTAAATACAGCATAAACTTGGGTTTAACCCACCTCCACGCTAAATTGCAGCTATTTTGATTTTTTTATGAAATTTCTCTATGTGTCTACAAAAAACATATCAGTAAAAGATTGGATTTCACTGCGATAACAAACATACGTCTGAAGCTAATAAAAGCGTATTAAAAATAGACTTATTCGACGAGTAATAATACCTACTGTCTGTCATTTACATTATATAAGAATGTGTTTACTATCTACAAATTTTTGAAAAAAATATAACTTTAAAAAAAAAGTAAAAAAAAATACGTAAATTAACAAATTATTGCAAATTACTCCAAAATCACTACCCATAACCCACTAGATCGATAGCTTTTGAGCTAAGCTACATTACAACATTAAATTTACAACTGTATATCTATTACTTTGAGAGTTATTGTCATTTAATAATAGCGTATGCGCAAACGCGTCGTCGTGGCCTAAAGGATAAGACGTCCGGTGCATTCGTATCTAGCGATGCTCCGGTGTTCGAATCCCACCGGCGGGCACCTATTTTTCTAGTGAAATAAGTACTTAACAAATGTTCACGATTGACTTCCATGGTGAAGGAATTTTTTTTTTTTTTTTTTTTNACTGGAGCCCATAGACATCCACAACGTAAATGCGCCACCCACCTTGAGATACTTTTTTTTTTTTTTTTTTTTTTATTGCTTAGATGTGTGGACGAGCTCACAGCCCACCTGGTGTTAAGTGGTTACTGGAGCCCATAGACATCTACAACGTAAATGCGCCACACACCTTGAGATATAGTTCTAAGGTCTCAGTATTGTCACAACGGCTGCCCCACCCTTCAAGCCGAAACGCATTACTGCTTCACGGCAGAAATAGGCGGGACGGTGGCACCTACCCGCGCGGACTCACAAGAGGTCCTACCACCAGTAATTACGCAAATTATAATTTTGCGGGTTTGATTTTTATTACACGATGTTATTCCTTCATCGTGGAAGTCAATCGTGAACATTTGTTAAGTACGTATTTCATTAGAAAAATTGGTACCCGCCAGGGGGATTCGAACACCGTTGCATCGCTCGATACGAATGCACCGGACATCTTATCCTTTAGGCCACGATGACTTCAATAGCATCGTGTAATAAAAACCAAACCTGCGAAATTATAATTTGCGTAATTACTGGTGGTAGGACCTCTTGTGAGTCCGCACGGGTAGGTACCACCACCCTGCCTATTTCTGCCGTGAAGTAGTATTGCGTTTGGGCTTGAAGTACCTTAGTGGGTACCTTAGAACGTATATCTCAAGATAGGTGGCGGCCATTGTAGATGTCTATGGGCTCCGGTAACCACTTAACATCAGGAGGGCTCATCCACCCACCTAACCAATAAAAAATATAAAAAATAACTAAAGACTTTAATTTTTTTTCGTAATACAAACATCACAGTTACAGTTAGTAATGTTACAGGAACGAAAGTGGAAAACTTGATATATGACCTATGTCTCAAAAGTAAAGAAATGTGATTGATCCAAGTTGATCCTCCTCATAAATTTTAAGTGTATTGTCTATGGCCCTCACTGCAAAATAGTTACCGGTAAAATGGGGCGATTAGGGACAAATTCCAACTTTATGACCAATTTTAAAGTAGTTGTTGATGTATATAATGCTATATCAGGATCAAAATGATTGAGTCTTGGGGGCATCTTTGTTGTCCAATTTAAAACTATGCAACTAGCATTCCAGTTTAAGCAAAAAAAGCAAAAATAGGTGTAATCCCTATTTACCCGGAAATTGCGGTNAAAGCAAAAATAGGTGTAATCCCTATTTACCCGGAAATTGCGGTTAATTGGGACGAAATGAGAAATTTGCTAGGGTGGGCACTACTTGGTTTTAATTAATTTATTTATTTAGTTGCACCAACAAAGTGATCATCAATAAAAAACATTGAAAAACTGACACTCTGAACAAATATTAAATATTTTATTATGTATTACTTAGGCATTAATCCACCTTGAGATTTCATTGTTCTTATTACATGTCTGTGCAAAATTGACTTACTTATATTAAATTGCTCAGCTATTTCAACTAAAGACTTATTCAGACTTAGATAATATCTCTTATAAGGCTTTGCACTCTTTGATACGTACACGCGAGGCATATCTAAAAATAGAAAACAATACGTAACTGATAATATAAATATTTAATAAACAATAAAATAACACATTGATAGTTTTGAATAAAAGTTCTAGACAAAAACATCATGAATAAACCAGATTTTTACCAACAAATTTAAAAAATATTGTTATAACTACATAGACAACCCTAGAAACCTGTACCTATTTATACTTATGGAAAAAACGTATTTGGTCTAACTTAACGCCAATGCACATTACTTCATTTATTTATTTTTTTATTTTTTTAATTAAACTGTATACCAATTAATTGCTCCTTCAGGATTTATATTTGTTTTTTTTTCACGATTAAAACCGCGTAGAAAGTTTAGGCATTATAGTTGACGCATGCGCAGTACACATATTTTGCATACATTTATTCAACTAATAAAAATAGTAAATTAAACAAAAAACGAGTAATTTCGAAAGAGAACAAACATGTGTTATATAAGAACAATCGAAAATGAATATTTACAAGTCATTAAGGATGAAAAAATATTAAAAATTGCATTAGAGGGGCTAACTTGTAGGTATATTTTTAAATATATTTTTTAAATAAATAAATGCAGAACAAACAATTATTAACAGTGAACAATCATGAACAAATGATGAACAAACAAATTAATAGAAAATAAGTATAAAATAGGAAAAAAAAATTTTTTGAGGGGCTAACTTCATTCACCTGTTGTTTTCTTGTTCCGATTCTTCCCCCGTCATAGACTAACAGATGTTCTTCAGATCACAGAGTATTTTAAATGATAAATTATTATGTAGGCACCTAGGTACATATTTAACATAAATATTGTATATTATTAATCAACGAGACAATATTATTATAAAATTCAAGTGTATTAATGTCTATGGTGCGCAGTTGTAAACTTAAAAAAATCGAGTTTCAATTAACTCCCAAAATATCAAAAACACTAATGAAATGTAAACAAAAAAAACGTACACATATTATGTAGATTACTTATTTATATAAATTAGTTCCTCGTTAAAAATACAAATAAATAAATTTTTCATCAAAATGACTAAGTCAGAATATTCACTACTAAAAGATGAGATAATTTTACGTGCAAGTGGAACTCCAAGACACGGTGAGATTTTGAGGTCTGTAAAAGAAATATATAAACAAAGTATTAACTCTAAAAGAAGATATGAACAAATTGAAACGATTGCGCAGCTGTTGAAAGTGTTGGAAATACGAGATGTATTGTCTGAAAATAGCATTGAGCCACTGAAAGAAGTCGCACGAAGACTACAAGATAATAATGAATTACTACGTAAAATTACAGATTATGAGTTAATTTCTGTATCAAAGAAGGACCTAAATAACACAGGTAATGTATGATTCATTTATTTGTGATAAAAACTATGCACAAAACTAATGTTGATGTAGATGTTGACTAATGAGATGTAGAGCCAAATCATATTATTATTATTAATAATTTCCTAAACTTCATATCATCTTAGTCAATTAACAAGTTCTCAATGTAAAGTATAACTTCAGTGTATAAGTAACTTCAATGATAATGTAATGATAGGGCAAACTATATAATATAAATACCATAATTTAGTAGGTTCTGTACACTAAGTCTATATTGTTAGGCTGAGTCTTAGTGTTAAAGTGGTAACATCCCAAGATCGAGTAGAAAAAGGTAAACAGATTTGTCTGCTCCCAACATCCTATTAGGCTTAGAGTAGTAATGCTCATGTAGTTTACAGAGCTCCAAAATATTATGATCTCACTGAAATAAGGACCTGTTATTTAATATTTATAAATAAATTTAGATATTTAAAAATATTTAATACTATAAAGATTGGCACTAATGTTTTGGTAAAATAATTTACACTGAAGGGTATTATTAGTACTGTCATTTTAAATGATTAACACAATTCAATATTTCTTTTGAATTCTTTATTTTTTCTAAATGTTTAAACCTTTGTTTGCATCTGCTTTGATTATTGCAATCTTATTTACACAAATAGAAAAAAAGAGAAAATATAAGTTAAATTCTGAAACAAATGTCAATGCGATCTCTAGAGACCATTACTTTAAAGTCAGTGCTAATTAGCACCTTGGCCAGCCAAAAATAGGTCCTTAGGTTTGCCGTACAGATTTGAATTTACAAGTTTCAGACATAGGTAGTTAAAGTAGTTATGCTTAAAAAACTTTAATTTAAAAATAAAGTGGTTAAAATAAAGAGCTTTTATCATCTCAAAAAAAATATCTATGATTTATAATTTTTTATTGCATAAATTAAAGTTTATAGTCAACTTTTAAAAAAAAGTAATTATTGTACATAGAAATATTTCAACCCATAATTCTTTTTTAGTATCATCATTTACTGCAACGCATGATGAAAAAATTGAAAGTGTTATAAAGTTGAATCCATTTGGTGGCAATTTAAGTCCAAGAAAAAAAGAAAGACTATTTGAAACTATAATAGAAGAAACAGGTACAAACTGGCGGGCTTTAGCTAGAAAATTAAAAATTCGAGAATGTGTAATTATAAAGATTGATGCTGAAGAAACTACACTAGCAGATAAAGTAAAAAAAATACTGGAGATATATGAGCAACGAGCAGATCCACAAAGGTGGTTTTTTGTTCTTTGTGATGCTTTGGAAGAATCATACAGGCGCGATATAGCAGATTCATTAAGAAATATTATAGTAATGAATATTTAAAAAGAAGCACCCATCAAATCACTTCAGCAATATTACAGCTTATTAGGAATGTTTACATAATTTCAATTGAAGAAGTTATTGAATCAAGTAATCCCTTCATATCGAAAAGAATCCAAATCCTTTAGTGATTGATATCAATAACAGCAGTAAAAAATGCAGAAATCGAATTGAGAACCTTACTACCTTTTTGAGTTGGTTAAAAATTGATAAATGAAACCATGACCCATCATTAGATGTAAGTGTATGTATCATATAGGAAATTAAGGAATAATTGAGAGAATTATAGGATTAAGAATAAGGGCTGAGCCATTAGCTGAATTATACACCAGCTTCCATTATCGAATGTGACTTTATGATGTGGAGGTTAGCCACACTCCATTATAATTCTTCAAAAAGGCAATCGTGAATCAATACTATTTTATTATTAATTTATTTTAGATGGCTTTTACATTGCTTTATCTTTTATCGTTCTTTTGTTAGCCGTAGATATATTTATCTATTTGAAATCATTTTATTGTGTATGTCACATTTTTACAACGGTTATTTAAATACCTTCTTAGTATATATAGTAGCGATTTCCACCCCTTGAAGGATCACCTTATAGGCAACAATTACACGAATTTATTTATTTTCAATTTTTATTAAGGGGTAGGTATGTACATATAAAGTAGTAAATTTATTATAAGCAAAATTATTTAAATATACAATTTATACATAATATTATATTGAAGTTTGAAGAGACCACTTAACGTTTCTGTGTTTTGAAACACAACGTCAATAACAAGGAAACTACTATCGTTGCTACTACTCGTCATACTATTGTTCTGATGTTATCTTAATAATTTGCTTTAAATCATGTTTAATGCAGTACCTTTGTTATGCATTATAGTAAATACTATAATAAAAGGAATATTTTCTACCTACCATTCTTTTAATTATTCTTTTTCATATGGTGTAAGAAAAGGTTTGTCTTTACCACAGACAATCGTATTTTAAAATAATTATACGTCGAGAATTTCCAATCGTAGTTTTAGTCTATCATAGTTATTACCAGTGCCCATATACATTTCAACCTAAATGTATTAACCCCCATTGAGAAACCAAGACACTCAATGTATTTATTATATCTGTTATAAGCAAACAAACAAATCAAACAACTTATTTATATATTCAAAATAATATCCTATTCCACAATTTGAATAGTCCAGTTTTTTTTATTGCATGGACGAGCTCACTGCCCTCCTTCGTGTTAAGTGGTTACCGAAGCCCATAGACATCTATAACGTAAATGCCGACACCCACCTTGAGATATAAGTTTTAAGGTCTCCGTATAGTGACAACAGCTGGCCTCACCTTTCAAATCGAAACGCATTACTGCTTCACGGCAGATATAGGCACAATGGTGGTGCCTACCCGTGCGTACTCACAATAGGTCCTACCACCAGCAAAAATATATATTAATGATTATTAACGGAGTATGAAATTCACTTCATTTAAAATATGACGAGATATAATACAATCATACATGTGAGTTCTGCGACACACCATGAGAGGTTTTTTTATTCCAATCAGTATACTTGATTACGGCTGTAAGGGTGTCAACTACATTAGTATCTAGGCCCTAGATTCTAGGGTGAGCTAGTAAGACGCCTTACCGGTACAAATCACATCGCATCATTATGAATTATTCTGGTAAATTTATGAATATCGTCACGAATATTACTTGTGGTACAATACCACCGAGCACGATTACTACGATGACTCTCAAGTGATGTCCAATCTGCGTTGGGATTGTATTTTTCTCATGTATGGGGCGTATTAAAGTAAAAAAATCTATGCTTGATGAAGAATAAAAATATATCGGGATATATATATTATGTACCATTGACATTAAATGTTTTCATTTGTCAAATAAAAAGTATTCAATCGTAAAATGAAATAAAATTTATTGATTTACTTAACAATATTCAAAACGCCTTAATATTTATTACAAAAATAGGACAATTCATTTCACAATTCGATATGTTTCCTTTTAAAAATAGTTTAAACGCACACACATGGAATGATATAGATTCATCGTTTTATTCCTAACAAAACGTTTATTAAAGGCGTAAAACCTTAATTACTTATTTATTCATAATCGTTTGATAAAGACCGAATCGAACCAAAATGCTGGTACTACATAATAATGCCATACCATAGAAAAACATGCCTTTTTCTAAATTGTTGGACTGTTAATGAGCTTTTTATATAACAATGCTTAGATAACGAACTGATTATAAGACTAATTCAAAACTTCGTCAGAAAAATCTAAAGACAGAATTTTTTTAAACATAATTAAACAGCATATTTTTTATGGAAGACTTTTTTTTATAAAATCTTGGCGTACACCCAAAGATCCTTGAATGATACGTTTTGTATTAATGATTAATAGCCCACGAGTAGGCATTTTGGAAGAGCCGCAACCACGGCGAGGCTTGGCTGTTGCGTACAGACGGATTAGTTACCGTGGGACAAGGAGCCGGACATTGCCAACGTAAAACACAACGCTCTGGATGTGGCATCATCGCTATGTGACGGCCGTCACGTGAACGGACACCAGCCAGCCCATCTATAAACAAACAAACAACTAAATTAATGTTTTTTTATTTTATTTAAGTATTACTGGTAGCCCGAAGGCCTTTCCAGTTTCACCAGGACAGGCGGACAAGAAAAGGCTTAGCTAGGAGGAGTGGGATTAGCTAACAGCTGCCCGAGTCTAGACTTAACAACTCAAGAGTAGCTGCTTAGCGAATGCATCTACTACGGGATCGGAATCGCGACCCGCTGAGAAGATCCGGCGCGAAACTCAGCGGGTTGATGCATGGGTTAGGTTGCACGTCGAAGTCTTTGCCGAGTTCGACAACTAAGGTTACCGGGATCCCAAAGCCTCCTAGCGTTAGAGCTGAAGGCATCTAATGCAAGAGTTATTAGGATCTGATGGATCCGTAAGGACATGTGAGATTAATATCTCGACCCACAGAGTACTTTTAGTTAAGATTCAAGTGAATATTTAATATCACACCATAAAATCAAATTATATAATAATATTATTAAGTCACAGCATTTTTTTAATAGAATGAAATGTACTGTATTGAGTGAGTACTGAACATGTAGAAAAATTAACTGTTTGGGCGTGTATTGAGGCCACGGGGTCGGTACAGTTCTGTATACCTCTGCTCCCGAGGAATCATGTATTTTGCAACTAAGACATCGATCACCACCAGCTACCGTCCTCGTCGAACCCGTCGACGAGTGAATTAACCCACAGACACAGCCCACTGAGTTTCTCGCCGAATCTCCTCAGTGGATCGCGTTTCCGATCCGGTGGTAGATTCTGCGAAGTAGTACTCTTGTTAGAGCCAGTGTTAGCAACACACCCGGTTTGAGCTCCGTGAGCTCAACCTACACGTCAAGGAGAATCTCATATAGCCTCTGAAGACAATCAGCATAGGTAGGAAAAAAAATCGAACTGCATCTCAAAGTGAGTCTCAAGTCCTTACGTCAAATAAATGTGTCGGTTCAGGTATACCTGGACTTCCATTGGGATTCATCGGGTACACCTCGGTGGGCTTTCCGTCGTCGTCGACATACTGTACAGCGACTTGTCCGTTCTTGTACAGTTTGTCGAGTAGAGAACCGTCGGCGACCGTGAATCGTCCTTCGCCGTGCGCGACCCACACGCCGAGCACGCTGCCGCCCATCCCGCGGAACCACACGTCTTCTTTGTTCTCGTTCTCGTGTATCTTCACGGCACTCCATCGGCATTCAAATCTTAATAAAATTACAGATATTAATTGAAAGAAAAAAAAAGCAATAAATGGATTTCAAACGGGACAATAGAGGCCAAATATGATGCTAACATTGAAAGTTTTAATTTTTTAACGACTGTTTTTGGTTTTCAAAAGATCAAGATTCCAGAATTATAAGTTTCATGGAACTTTTCAGATCATTACGAGCGACCCATATTGAGAGGCTATAAAAATTATTTTGTACAAACTATCTGTTTTGATTCTGCTAAATGTGAATTTTAAGAGGCGAGAAAAAGTATAGAAAAACTAGTTCGATCATATCTTCAGTTTAGTAACTACTATACTACATTTATATCTTATACATAAAACTTATCCACACCAATAAACACTTCTAACAAATAAATTATAAGTAAATGAATTAACTGCTGCAAAATAAAAGAAGACTCCATTTAATCAATTACCTTTCCGAGCTATTATGGTCTAGGAATATCTGGGCCTTGTTTGAACCTTTGGAATTGCTATCCGGGTCCACCCATCCTAGCATAGCCATTAGCTGACACCCATTACAAACTCCCAAAGAGAAAGTGTCTTTTCTATCTTTAAAGTGAGCAAATTGCGAGCTTAGAGATTCTGAGAATAATATTCCAGCAGCCCAGCCTTTGGCAGAACCCAGAGTATCTGAAATAAATTAACACCATGAGCACATCAATTAAAACATAAAATATGGCAATTTTTAGCAACTCATACTATTATTTAACATGAGAAAAAGATCAATAACTTTTCTCACCTGCGTAACTGAAACCTCCCGGGAAAACAACACCTTGGAACGCATCCAGAGTAATCTTCTTGTTTTGTAAGTCACTCATTGTAACATCAAACACATCAAAGTTGGCTAGCATTAGAGATGCGATCATTTCCCTGTCTCCATTGATACCTTTGAAAAATTAATTGTTTATAATTATTATTCTTTAAATTCAACATGTCATTAATTTTGTAAGATTGATTTTGGAAGATTAAGACGTTGACCTGAACTGCTAAATTTCTTCCTCAGTCACCAACTTTGATAAAAATATTTGGCATTCTGTATATGCCTCATAATACATATATTTTTATAAACATCCGTCAAACGTTAGTGGTAAAATTAATTACTATTATACTACTGGTATTATTTAATAGTACATATAATGATGGTACCTTCTTCACGAAGTACTGCAACCTTGATGGATTTCGTTTTAATAACGGCAGCCGTAGGATCAAACGTAACGTTGTATGTGGCACCTTTACGTTTCTCAAGAACTAAAATTTTAATTGAAAAACAATATTTTACAAAGATACAAATTGTAATCATTGAACAATTATTAAAAAAGTCGATCAACATTATTTCTTTACCTTTCCATTCTTGGAGGACACAATCAGAGTTAGCTTGCAAGCATTCCAAACGATAACTAGTTTCCTCCCACATTCTGAACACATCAATGAGAACCGTATCCAAAACATTAACGCCATTCACATTTATTACAACCTAAAATTGTAGTTCGTTAATTCATCTTACATTCTATATTACAATAAAAATTGAAACTTAAATAATTTTAAATAAGCTAACCTGAGAATCCATGCCGTATTTCCCAGTGTAACCAATGTGCTGTGCACCGACGCCATTGTTGTTGTATTCGCTTAGAACATAAGGCAAGTCGTTTTTGGAAACTTCCAGAACGATACCAAGTTCTTCATTGAACAGCGCTTCGATGGGCGACACATTGGCGGCAACGTTGACGTGTAGATTCAAACCGCGAACACCACCGATACCCATCTCAAGTACCGTTGTTATGAAGCCTCCTTCGCTGATATCATGACCGGATATCAGTTTTTTTTCTGGAGTAATGAAACACAACAAATCAATATTCTATTATACTATTATGGATATACTATGATATTATTCCCGATATTGCTCTTTTACCTTTTAGTAGCTTCTGTGTAATCTTGAATAGACTTTTCAATATGATGGGATCGTCTAAATCGGGAGGATTATCGCCTAGTTGCTTGTAACATTGAGCCAATGCTGAACCACCAAGTCTACAAGGAAAAACGATAAATTTTATAAATAATTTCTCTGCTGTGTAGATCATTT